ACGATATTCTCTAATTGAAGAAAAATTACTGACATTTGGAACTATAAAAACAAACCTTAAAAGAAAAAAAAGATAAATGGGGGCCCTCCCTGGGGGCGCAGCGGGTTACAGCACAGCACTAAGAAGCTAAATCTACTTCCGCATGAGTTTGATCCCTGCCCCAGAGCTGACCCACAGGGCGCGGCAGACCTCTCCTGACCCGCCCGCTGCTCCCCTCAGCAGTGGACTTCATCTTTTCTGCCTTTTCTGCTCCCCACTCTGTCTCTGGTGAATCATCTCATCACCCCTGCACCTCTGGCCTGTACCCTAGTTCTGTATGCACAAATAAACCTTTTAAAAAAAAGATAAATGGAAGCCTCATATTACTTGACTTTAAGCTATAGTACAAAGCAACAGCAATTAAAACAATATGGTAGTGCCATAAGCATAGACATGGCTCAGTGGAACACAACTGGATGCTTAGAAATAAATCCACACACTTGTTAATGTACAAAAAAGCAGCTGTAAAGACACAGTGGGAAGGCGCGTCTCTTTAGCCAAAGGTGATGGGAAACTGGAGACATCAATCTAAAGAACATGAAGCCATCACTCGAAAAACTATGACCCGAGAGAAGTACTGTGTACTTCAAGATGGGGAATTGATCAAGGTGTGGCCTAGCCAACAATGGAGTTCTACTCGGCCGCAGAGAAGCCAACGTGCTTCCATCCACAGCAAATGGAAGACCCCCAAGGGAATTAGATGTGCAAAGCGAGTCGGACAAAGACAAGTACTGGATGTTTATGTAGGGGACATTTTGACAAAGTAAACACAGAAAAACTAGGGGACACTGATAAAGGGAGGTCTTGAAGTTGAGGGGAGGGAAAAAGTGTGTATAAGGGATTACAGAAGATATGATTACAGAAAACGTGGATTTGGGGAGGCAAAAAGTTGGGGGATTATGAACACTGTCATCGGAGAAAAATATATTTTAGGATCAACCATGTCCAGATGTCAAAGACCCACAGCCAGGACTGGGCTTCTCCTATGGCCCCTTTTAACCTCTTTCCCTGCCAGAGTGTGAGATGAACGCTGCCCCAGCAGGGCAGGGGGCTCCCCGGTGTTTCTGAGGTGGCTTTTAACATGCAGATGCATGCCGACTTGTCTGTGCCCACCAAGTGTGTTCCCAGAGGGCAGAGCTAGGCCAGAGAGGCCCAGGCTCTGACCCCACACCAGGCGTGGGCTCCCCCAGCAGCCCCGGGTCTTCTCATCTTTCACTATCCTTTCCCTATTCCACCCCTTCTCTTTTCATGCTCGGCTGCGGCTCCTGGGAACTTGGCCACTGCCAGCGAGAGGCAGGTGAATACACTGAGTAGCTTCTAAAATGCAAACAGGATGCAAAGGAAAGGAAAGTGTACTTCCTCGGTCAGGGCTGGGAGTTAGGCTGAGAAGTTGAACTCACTGGGGTGGAAATGGCCCACTGGGGAGGCTGCCCATGGTCGAGAGAAGGAGCTGATGCCACTGTATCCAGGGAAAGAAAAATCAAACAGAGCAGCTGATGGAGGAGGAGAGCTGATGCGAGCCGAGCAGCCGGGCAGCACCCCGTGGTGCCTTCCTCCGTGGCTGTCTGGGTGGCAAGTGTGAGTGTGTGTGTGTGTGTGTGTGTTGTGTGTGTGTGAGAGAGAGAGAGAGAGAGAGACAGACCATGTGGGGCAAGGCAGGGGGACGCCGACATACAAAACTCCGGCCGTGCCAAGTCCTGGCTCTGCAGAAAGCCCGCAGACACCTGTCACACCTGCAGCGCTTGCCATGCAGGTGGGTGAGAGAGCGGGGGCTTGTCACACCTGCAGCGCTTGCCATGCAGGTGGGTGAGAGAGCGGGGCTTGGCCTGAGTCACCTGCCTCGAACAGCTCCACAGGGCCGGCAGCCTGCAGGGAGAGCTGAGTTTTCAGTTACTAATGTCTACAGGGTACGGAGATGGAGTGGAGGCCTCTGCTGGGGTCTGCTTTAAAGCAGACCTCGAAGTGTTTCTTCTGCAAGGTTCCACCAGGGGCAGGGAGAAAGGAGCCAGCAGCAGGTTGCAGCATCTGCCTTGGGTCTCAGTCTCCTGAAGAGAGCCCCTGCCTGTCGCGGCATGGGTGAGTTCTTAGCGAGGCCACACACGCCCCCGTAGACGGGGACCCCTCGGGAAAGGGCTATCGGCTCTGGGCTATTTGAATTTGACGGCAAAATACTGAGTACAGGTTACCTTGATACAAAAAAATAGAGCATCCTAATTTGAATGATTTGGTGGGTTATTTTTTGGGACTGGAAACACTGGTATGCTACTAATGCTACTAATCAATGTCATTAACTTATGTAGAATGTATGTTAAGTCTTCTCTGGCCCCCCCAAATAGTCTCCCAAGTCATATCAAGCAGCAACACTCTGCTTTCTGAGAGCAGGGAAAACTGTGTTGAGGCATGTTCTGAGGGTTTCATCATTTTAGGTGCTGAGCCCAGAAAAGTTTAGGATGTGCTCACCACCTTCCACCCACATCTACCTCGATGCATAAAAATAGAGCATCCTAATGTAATCAAAGGTGGTTTAGCAAAAAATGTGAAGGAACCATCAACAGAGTAAGTTCTACGTGGATCTCAGCCGACAGTGAAAGGGCAGGGAACTTTGCAATCACGAGAGGAATGGAAACTCACAAAAGAAGAGATGAACGCATTTAACGTTCAAAACTGGAATTCTTTCTATACAAGAAAGCTCATAGAAAAAGACGAATCAGGGAACGCATATAAGTTACTGGGAAAAGGGTAAAGCTACTAGGAAATTCTTAATCTATTAGGAAAATACTCTACAAATCAATAAGAAAAACTAGGAGAAAAAAAAAAAAGGCAAGGATAGAAAACAGCAGCGGCGGGAAGCCAGTGCAGGCAGGAAGGGCGCCCGCGGCCAGGCTGAGCACAGAGACACCGCGTCAGAGCCTGGGATTGGCGGGGTTTTACCGTGCAAACCTTGGCTTTTAAAAAACTTGTCTCGACAGCTGATTTGCCAGCACACTGCTGGTTAACAGAACTACAAAAAGAGCTTCTAGTATACCAGTCATCACGGCAATGTCAAGAAATGAGTCTGCACAAGATGGGATAAGCACATTTTACCTGATTCCTTTTACATATGCCAACACAGAAAACGAGAAAATTCATCAAGCAACTTGTGTTCAATTTTGAAAATTATGCCGGAGGGTTGAACACCATCGTGACCCTTCTGAAGTGACTCTCATGTACCAAAAGGTAACACTTCTACACATCCTAAAAGGAAGGAGATAAAGGAGCCTAAGAGGAGGCAAAGTTTCCACATTCCACTTGCCAGAAAATATCGATATTATTACTCCGTGACAAGTTGTGCACATATATTGTCACCGCTGGAGTAGCTGTGCTTCACTCGGGTGATTTTGCCCCCAGGGAACCCCCAGTGTTTGCAGACGAGCTGCTGACATCCAGCTGGAGGAAGTCAGGCTGCTGCCCCATGAGACACGGGCCGCCCCTGCCGCACATCCCCAAGGCTGGGAACACCTGCCCTAGAGCAACCTCGCACAAAACCACACAAGACACAGCCTGAAAAACAAACCACCACCAGAGAACAGGGAACACTGGAGCAATGTTCAACGCACTGTTCAACTAGGACTTCAAAAGAGGAGTAAGCATGATACTGCAAACATCAGGAGCCAACAAGACTGAAAGAGGAACTCAAATCCTAACATCCCCGATTATATGAAGTGTGAGCGGCCCAGACAACTCCTTACTAAAAGACACTGACCACCAGCATGCATGAAAGAATCCGCCTCGCCGAAGCATTAGGACCCAGGTTAGCAGTAAAAGGCTGGGAAAGACACACCATGCAGACGCTAGCGGAAGGGAGACTGGAGCGCATCTGCACGTCTGAGATAAAGCACGGCGTAGAAGGCCCGCAGCCAGCAGAGCGGAGGAGGGCGACGCACCTGATACGCGGCCACCTGGCGTCCACAGCAGCCTGACTGTGCCGAGGGCAGCGGTACGTCAAACACCAAGAAGGGAGAGGCGCCTCCCGTTGGAAACGATGGCACCCCCTCTCGGGAATGGACAGTACCACTGAGCTGAGAGAGCCCGAGACTTTCTGTCTCACACTGACCAGTCCCGGAATGGGAGTGCTGGGGAGGCGGCCAGGCTGTGACACTGTGGGTGACCACGACGCCACAGCAGGAACCCTCAGTGGACAAGCCATTTTCCAACCCCGTATTTCCACGGCTAGGGATTCCTTTCAAGGGACTGTTAACTGGTTCAAAACGAACATCTAGACAAGCATAGTGGAGTTAGCTACATCGCTAAGTAAAAGTTAGATACCTACACGTGCCCGTCCGTCGGCACATTCGCCAAACATTATAGTCTCACACAGTGCTAGTATGAAAACATCATTTTTAAGGATTTTTAATGCTGCTGCAGTAAATGGGCCTGTTTTTAAGGCCCCCAAAGAGCAGCATGCAAACCAATGGACATACTAAAACACACCAAATCATCAGAAGAAAATAAAACGGTAGCAATGAGCAACCACCAATGACTCTCGCTTTGTTTTCACTTTATTTTTCCTCCCCCGCCCTCCACGTGAAACGATGCCGCGCTCACTATCATCCCCAAAGTGGCTGGCGCAGTTAGTAACAGCGCCCGTGCCATTCTCCGGGGTCAGGGTGTGGGCTGCTGAGCCCACCCATCATTCTGGACGCGAGCCAGTCTTGCAGCCACACTGCCACTAAGCGCCGTATGAAAGCTGGACGTGGGTGACCTCGTTGACCCCACCCAGAGCTGGCCCATCTCCATTTACAGAAGCATCAGAAGCTGAGCTGCTGGCGGGTCTCCCTGGTGGCGCAGGGCTAAGTCTCAGCACCCCGGCTCTTGCTGCATAGTATTTAGGAAAAAAGAAGCGGCAGCAAAGCTGCCAGCCCAAGCACAGTCACAGCGAGTAGCAGACCTGAACTCTCCCGCCGCGGCGGCCGAGGGCCTACCTGGGCTTGCCGAAGGGCGGGGTTGGCCGGAAGGGGCCTGGCGGGGACGCTGGGAGCGCGCGGGGCGTGCGGCAGGGGCAGGAGCACGCGCTGAGGCGAGCTGGGCGCAGGGAGGTCAGGGGCGGTGAGGGGCCCACTGATGTCCACGTTCTGACCCTGCGGGAGCCTCCTGGGATGGTCCTGCGGGCAAAGCAGACGTCGTGACGCAGTTGGCGCAAAAGCGTTTCTGTGATCCTCAGGGAGAAAGCCAGGCTGGCACGGCTGGGGCGGGGGCACCGGGCAGCTCAGGGGCCAGGAGCCGGAATCTGTTGTTACGGATCCCAACTTCAAAAGCAGAGCCGGCGCCCACCTGCCCCGCCTGGGGGAGGGAGGGGAGAGGCCGACAAACCGAGGAGGCACTGAGAAGTGGCCACCCGGGTGCAGACAGACCAGATCCGCAGGAGGCTCAGAGGCCGTGAAAACGGGGCGCCCCCAAGATGGCACCCGTGCTGGCGGGGCCCCAGCCCTGCCTCTCCCTTTCCTCCCTAAGAGCTCATGGGGGTGTAAGGAGCCCACAAGCTGGCAGGTGTCCCCACCAGGAGGCCATGGCCATTAGCCAGTGATGAACAGGAGACACCCCAGGAGTCCCCGCCCCCCCTTCCCGCCACCGTCGTCGACCTGCTCCAGAGGCCGCGGGGCCGCAAGCCCGCTGCTCTCGCCGCTGAGTCCCAGGCGCGCCACTCTGCGGCTCTGCTGACTCACGCAGGGCGGAGCGGACACCAAGGTCCGCTCGTCCTCCTGCCTGCGGATGGGCCTTCGGACCCTTTCGGGTCTCGGGGCTCACTCACGAGGCTGCTGCTGCTCCGGCCCACGCCAGGCACCCCCTCCCCAGGAGCCAAGCTCAGAGGAGCAGCCGCCTTCCAGTGAGAGTGGACCCTGTACTATCCCCCGGGAGAGTGGGAAAGGAAGCGCCAGAGGGCGCCAGCAGGGGCCAGGTTAGGGCCAGTTCTCTGAGATGGCCGCTGGGCCAGAACTGCTCTGGGTAAGTCTTAGGGGCACCCTGGGGGTGGCAGCGGTCCAGAGCGGTGACCCAAACCCAGTCGGCGGCACCCTGAAATCACAGAGGGGCTGAGGGTCACAAACCCGCTTGGGTAGTGGACCCGAGGCCCTGAATGTGGCCAGTCAGGGTGACTGGAGGCGGCAAGCTCACTGCCCTGCCCGCGGGGACTCGCCCACCCACGCCGGCCCGGCAGTGCCCCTGCTGGCCCGAGAGGCCCCTGCTGGCCCGAGAGGCCCCGCAGCCCGGCCGCTGGCCGCTCCCAGGCAGCCCCCGGTGACTCCCACGCTGGGCCCTTCTCGCGTCTCCCACTCACCTTTGCTGCGCTGGAATGCGGCGGCTTTCGCGTTAGGCCTTGGCCGAGGGGGGCGAGGTGAGCCTGACCGGGCTGGGGGGCTCCGGATGGCCGGGGCGGCCGCACACACCTGGGGGGACACCCCCGAACGCCATCAGCTCTCGCAAGGCGACTCTTTCTGTGTTCAGAGTCACGCTCAAAATCAAGCCGCTGATTTTAAGGCAGTGGGGTAAACACGCAGAGGTAACGAGCCCCTCCGAGAGTAAAAACGGACCCCGGGCCCAGCGGCGAGCCTGTTAGGTCCTTATCACTCATAGAAGCACAGCTTGGTCTCACCAGGGAGACATCTGGCACAAAGCTGGCATTTCAGCCACGATGTCTTTGAAGCTATCTGGGTCAAAAGTGAACCCATCTGGTGAAAAAACTCCACATCCGTCTTGCAGAAAGTGCGTGTAGGCGTGAAAACACATCAGCAGAGCCAGCACTGCCCCCGCTCGTTTCTAGAACCTGCGCAGCTGGAGGGGACAGTGACGGACTGGGCTGGCAGGGAGAGTCTGGCCTCTCCCGCCCCGGCGAGAGGCGACTGCGGCGCGCCCTTGCCAGCCCGCTGCCCGCCCAGATGGCCCAGTACCTCAGCTTCTCGATGGTGGTCTTCTTATGTGTGAACAGCAGCCGTAGTAAGGTCTTCCTCTTGAGGTAAACCACAAGTCCAGCAGCGACAAGGCACAGGACGGTCAGCAGAATTCCGATAGTCAGCCCTCGGTTATCTGGAACGAGAGTCGCCTGACTCGGGGGGGTGACAGTGACGCGAGACCACACAGGGGCACCGGGGCGACACCAGGGCCAGCGCCCGCTGCCCAGCCTCAGGGCAGTGGTCGTGCCAGTGGGCTGCTCTGGGGCCCGCTGGCACGAGCCTGGTCTGGAGGTGGGGCCCACGTGCAACAGGAGGGGCGGTGGCCACAGAAAGCCACCTCTGTAGAAGCCCGTCCGACCAAGTGGTCTCCCACGGACGCCTGCCCGGCACCATCACGGCAAAGCGCCCACCCTCCCTCCTCGGCGGTCACTGTTTCCCTTTTTGGGGTTCTGGGTTTCCCTGTCTCAGGCTCACCGCGCAACGAGATGCCCTGGCCGTGTTTCACTGTCAGGGACTTAAAATCGCCCTCTGGGCCGCTGCCTGTGGCTGGCGTCTGCTTGCTGTCTGGACGCCCGCCTGGGTCACATGTGTGCGGGAGCAAGGGGCCAGCTCACCCCCAGGGGTGTCCGCCCTCCACCCATCCCCGTTTGCATCCTTCAGCGGTCAGGAGGGGCCATGGCGGGGAAGGCCACTCTTGGCCCGGGGCCGACCCGGCACCCACGGGGGGCCCGCCTGCTGTCCCCGGCCAGCGGGGCCTGTCGGGCTGCGTCTCAGCCCAATGCAGACCGTTGGCTCCGATGGCGTGATGCCAGGGCAGTGCCGGCTTCCCGGTCCCAGGCCACACGCTCCTTACCTGCAGTGCACCCCCCACCACGTGGGCCCCCTGCCCCGGGTCCCCCCACACCTGGCTCCGGCCGTGCTTCTGGTCTCTCCTGGACTCTGAGCCACGGATACTAGCTCCTCACAAGCAAATGCCTCACTCTTAAACGAGTCAGTATATCCAAGTGAACACTCACACGCCCCCAGATGGGCGGCTCCTCCCCTTAGCCGGCGCCGGTTTCCATAAAAGGCAGTGGCCTCCCTCCCCCGCCCCAGCTCCTGGACCAGAAACCTGGGCAGCGCAGCGACTCCCGCCCTGGGCCTCCATGTCCAGCTACACCGTGGCCTCTGGACCCCCCACTGCCCACACTCTTCCTTGCCAAAGGGCCTGCTTGCTCTGCCTGCTGCAGGCAGGGCTGAGGTGGTGACCATGGGCTCTCTGGGAGCCATGCAGGGACACGTCCGCCCTCGAGCAGATGAACCTTCCTCGTGGTCTGGTGCAGAGGGACCTGCCCCACCGAGCCCTGCCTGGCCTGGGAATGTCGTGTTTGTTGTCATGGAAATGATGGTCAAGTCACGGAGTTACGGCAGGGCCCGGGGACAGGTGAGGTCCCTGCAGCAGCCTGGGCCACTGCCTGGGTGTCCCTGGGAGTCCCGGGCCAGGGCGATGCCCACCTGCCCCCCAGGGTGCCTGGCGTTCACGGCATTTCTTCGTCTTGCTTCTCGCACTTTAAGCACCGTGGAAATTTGCCCCTTAATCGCCTGCCCAGAGCTCAGAGCTAACAGCCAGCACCTGGAGGCCAGTCTCGCCTCAAGGCTGTCAGGGCGCTCAGGGTCCTAGCCCGGCCTGGCTGCCCCGGGGGGAGACAGGCTCGCTGCTCTGTCTTGGACGTGCCACTCTGGGCGGGTGCCGGCCCCTGCGCCTCCATATTGGGGACAGGCAGTGACCAGAGACCGCGGGGTCCTTGGCACTAGGCGGGGCTACACCAGGGGCCGGTCGCCACGACTGCGGCTCCAGCTGGGAGCGGCGCTGGGGGTCTTCAGTGCGGCCCCGTAACTCGGAGGGGCTCGCGGCTAGCGGGCAGCTCGCGGTCACCACGCCCTGCCGCCCACGGGGCGGCCGCAGACGAAACAGCCCGAGTCCCGTCAAGCTCAGGTGTGCCTGGGGGTCCCACAGGCCCCCGCTCAAGAGCCCCCACCAGCGGCCCGCGGCCCCAGGAGCTCAGGGCGTCTGCCCCGCCCACGCCCACGCACCTGCTTGCCGGCTGGGGCCGCTGTCCGTGCTGCCCCCAAAGCCAGCCCGGTCGCAGAAGGGCGGCGCCCAGCGGGCCTCACAGTGGCAGTGATTCCTGTTGTTGCAGACCTGGCGGGGACACGGGGAGGAGGCCTCAGAGCCTGTCTGCGGAGTCTTGGGGCCCTGCAGGGCCGAACCCTGAGACACCAGCGCTTGGTGCCAGCACCTGCTTTTGGCCGAGAGTGGCCCCACGGGGGCCTGGGCTGCAGGCGGAGGCCCTCAGGGAGGCCGGTGGGGCGGCTCCCGGCCATGCTGCCCGCCCCGAGCTCCGGCTCCCCAGCTGCAGGCAGTGGCGAGGCCGGAGAGCCGCGCGGGATGATGGGACGGCCCCAGGTGTGAGCCGTGAGCTGGGTGGTGCTGTGGTCCAATCAGCCACGGGACTCACAAGGTCCAGTGAGGCCTGCCAGGGCGGGGGCGGGAGTGGCATGGCCCCTCCTTCCTGCGGAGCCCCCGGGGCTCCCTGCCCGCATGCGGGCATCGCCAGCCAGCCAGGCTGTGACCTCGTGAGTTGACCTGGGGCGGCGGAAAAGGTGCCCAAGCAAGCGGGGGGCTTCGCTCTGGGCCGCCCGAACACGCGTCCTCCCTGGGAGCCCAGTGCACCGTGGGGGGGCTCCAGCGAGCCCTTCCGCCCACCTCGTCACCTGGGCGCGATGCCCGTCTGCGCGATGTCCGTCTGTGCGAACCAGCGCAGCGGGCGTGGGGGCAGGCGTGCGGCTTCTGGGACCATCAGGCTGGGGACGCGGCGGGGCGGGGCGGCTGCTCACGCGGGCAGGCCCGGGGCACAGTCACGGGCAGGGAGAGGGGCTGCCTGGGGACCGCCGTTACAGGGCCGTGCCGGTGGCCTCTGCGTGTCTGCGCTGCTGCCGCTTACAGGGGCCGGCTGGGCCCCCACGGGGCGCCTGAGGCCTCAGCCCGCAGCAAAGTCTCGCACACGTCAGGGAGTGGGGTGCGAGGTGCGTGGGCCCGAGGAGTCCGGTCTGCTGGGAACCGGCCACCTGCCCATGAGAAGCCCCCGCCCAGCCGCCTGCGGGTCCACGCGCAGGGCAGGAGTGAGTGGCCAGCCGCAGCCTGACCCCCCAGGTCTGGCGCCTTCCACACACTGTTTTGTGGGGTCTCCCCACAACTTAGCCACGTGCCGGTGACGCGGCTACCCGGAGTCCGCTCCACCCACCCAGATGCTATGGGGCTCCCCAGCATGCCGGGGGGCCGCAGGGCGTGGGAGAGCAAGGAGTCCAGGGCCCCCACTTAGTCCCGCTCCCGGGGCGTCACTCCTGCTCGGGGGTGGCCCAGGCTGCTTTGCCAGAAGACAAGGAGGCCACAGTGGAAGGAAATCCTTACAGTGTCCCTTTACGTCTCGAGTCGCCTGCTCAGTCAGTGAGCCCCGGGAGGCGGCACCCCTCTTCTAGGGTCACGAGCCCCCCATTCCCACAGAAGAATAGTGAACGTCTGCAAGGTTTAAAATGAGAAGTCGGAGCATGGTGTCTATAGGATGGTTTTCAGAAAAACAAACGTGCTACTGCGCCCGTCAGGAGGGGCAGGGTCCCCCGGAGGTGACTGAGCCCATCAGGAGAAACAAACCGTGCCTCAGAGGATTACAGTCCTCTCCCCTGAAGCGGCTCTGAGCTGAAATAACGGCCTTTGGTCAAAGGCCACTGCGTGGACTCGAGAACGGGCCAGCAGACCCCTCCCCCTGGTTTGATTCCTTCTGGAAGTGTCTGGGTTCAGGGCTGTTTGAAATGGAAATGCGGAACCCTCCCGGAAGGAAGGGAGGAAGGTCACTGTTACAATTACTCCGAAGCCCACACCGCACCCTCCTTTCTTAAAATCTCGGGATGTCAATTTGGAAGATAATTACTGCGGTCTGCTCTTCTTTGGTGAGTAAAAGCCATTTCTTTTGCTGCGTGAAGGTCAAAGGAAATGACTGTCTTCAGGAGGAAACACCGAGAAGAGTCTGTTGTACAGCCAGGCATGGCCAGATCTTAGGGGAGTGCGCGGGCTGTGTGGGGGAGATCCCGGCCTCGCCCCTTACCCCTCTGCCGCCACACTGCCCGGCGCACTCCAGAACCCCGAAGACGCTGATGTTCTGACAGCGGCGGTTCAGGCAGATCTGTGGGGGAGAAACAACAGCCCTCTCAGGCCCTGCAGCCGGCCCCACGCGCCGGGGCTGGCCGGCGGCGGGCTCTGACAGAGGAAGGGACGCTCCGAGGCGGGGACGCACCCCGGGGTCGGTCAGACGCCCCAGAGGGGCCTTCCCGGGCGGGGGCAGCAGAGGGGGGCTCTCTGTGAGGGCTGTGGTGGGGGAGACCCAGCGCGGTCAGCGGGACGGAGGACCGGCCGGTGGCATTCGCCGAGGCCCGGCGGCGGCTGTGACCCCCGCAGTCGGCCGGCCCGGCCCCCGGCTCCGCACCGGCCCCGCTCTGGTCTTCGGCCTTCCCCCTCGAAGCTCAGTGCCCAGCAAGGCTTGCGTCTCCGCTCACCTATCTGCTCGGCCTGCGGATCCTGCTCGCGGCTTCCCGGGACCAGGGCTCGCGGTGCGAGGGCCCCGGGGCGGGATGGGGGGCAGCGGCTCACGGCCACACCAGGCCCGTGGCTGTGCTATTGCTTACGGAGAGAAAGCCCAGGGACATTTGGGGGAGACTGTCTTCTCGGGGTGACTCCTGGCCGCAAACACAGCACATTTTGAGCCTTGTATATGAACACGACCGAATTCTCTAACCTCTTAGCAATTCAGCCAATCCTGACGTTACCACTGATTTTTCCATGACTTCTTAGCGCTGGCAAAGGAATCTACATATTCCAGCTTTGTTTTTTTCCACTACTAGACGCAGGAGAGGGGGGAATGGGAGGTCCTCGCGCAGGGTCTGCACAGACTCGGAGGCTGAGAAGCCGGGGGACGCGTCTGAGAGCCGACGGACCCGCGTAGCCACGGCGACGTGGCCCAGACAGCCAGGCGTGGCCGAGGACGCGGCCGAGCCCGCTGAGCCCATCAGGCCCCCCAGAGGCAGTGACCGGCGGCAGGCCCGGGCCGGTGGGGGGCGTTCGCCAGGCTCAAGGGGCCAGGCCTGCTACCGCTCATCGAAAGTCACAGATTGGTGGGGGCAAAGGAAGAGTCCGGCCGGGGCTGAAGCACTTTCAGTCACGCGGCCCCTTCCTAAGGGCCTCGCCGGTGCGCGCCAGGCTCCCGACGCCCTCTGAGAACCGCGCTGCCAAGCACGGCTGCGGCCCGGGCCTGGCGGGGCTCGTCGCAGGCCAGCAGCGGCAGGAAAACGTCTGGGTGCTGCGACGAGACAGCGGGACCCCGGAGGGCCGAGGGCAGAGGCGGCTCCCGGCCAGGGCCAGCGGCCCGAGCACCCTCCGGCCCAGCACAGCTCGCTGGTGCATGCACGCCCAGGGCTGGCCCTGGCCATTCAGCCTGTGGTACACACGTGTCGTCCTCACGGCGAGGCCCGAACGCGGGGCTCAGGGGACACCAGAGCGCTGGGCACGCCCAGTGACCGCCCCGCTGCCGCCAGACGCGGCTGGACAGAAGGGGGTGCAGGGGGACCCTGTGGGCCTTCTGCTCTGTGACCGCCATGTGACCGCTGCGTGAACAGGGGCCGGCAAGGTCACGGGGGCTGACCGGTTCTCCTAGAACACGAGCAGTCCCTGACCTGGCAGAGCAGCGAGGAGTCGGCGAGCAGAACGTGAGCCCCGTTTCTCCCCTTCGTTTTCATTTTTAACTTCTAAACCTCAAAATATGCGTCCTCCCTTCCCCCTGGCCGGCTCTGCCCTGTCCTCCCCTCCTATCCTGCCCATCCTCTCCAGGTGAGACCAGGCCTCCCTGACTCGCTGCTCCATTCCCAAAACAACCCAGAGGCAGCGCGTTTCCTTCCTAAGTGACTTCCTGACAGGCCCCACGCGCGCTCAGGGTGAAGGAGGGGCTGTCAGCAGGAAGCTGGGACAGGAAGCTCAGTTTCTCCCACCTCAGAGCTCAGCCCAGGACCTAGACTTACTCACTTTCTCATCTAGATGCAAAGAACTTGTTTCAGAGACCCGCTCTGGGGAGCGGTGCACTAGGAAAGACCGCGAGGCTGTCCTGGACGGCAGGCCCTCGGCGGCCCCGGGCGGGGCCAGGAGCAGCCCCCCCCACCCAGGAGCAGCCCCCCCCTTCCCCAGAAGCAGCCCCCCCTTCCCCAGGAGCAGCCCCCCTTCCCCAGGAGCAGCCCCGTGCCTCACCTTCCCCTCGGCACACTTGGTGCCTGCGAGCACCAGCCCGGGGTCCGGCAGGTCATCGCCCAGGTACACGTGGGTCCCCCGGCAGAGGATGCGGCCACCTTCCTGCAGCGGGATGTTCGTTTCTATGGAAACTGCGTTGGTGCCAATGACAGGCCGGCTGGCACCTCCTTGACACTGGATTTTTCCACACTGAGCGTCCCTGGAAGGGCGAGAGCAGAAGGCCCGGAGCCGGCAGTCTGCAGCCGCCCCGGGTGGCAGGGGGGTGCGGCGGCGCGGGGCGCTCCCTACCTGGCCTCGCACTTGGCGAAGGAGCCCGTGGAGTCCTTCCCGCAGTTGCCGTAGGGGTCCCCGGCGGAGTTGACCCTCTCGAAGCAGATCCCCGGGGCCGGTTTAGCGCCTGCAACAGAAGCCACGAGCCCTTCACCTCCTGCAGGTGTCTCGAGCGGTTTCCTTGAAAGGCACTGGGCCTTGAGCTCCAGGGGAGATGTGTCTGCGCCCCAGAAATCACAGGTCAAGCAGCGAGCGCTCCCTCCTCGGGCTCCGGCCCGGGTGGACGGAGATGAGGCCTGGTGCTGCCCAGCCAGGCCTGGGCCCGCGGCTGCGGGAAGGAGACTCACTCCCTGTAACAACCCCCCCTGCAATGCCGTGAGGCCGCAGCAGGCAGGCGAGGGGCGGCGAGGAGCGACTAGCAGGGAGGCAGAGCAGCAGGGCGCCCGCAGAGCCCGGCCAGGCCCCAGGCGCAGGGCTGAGCCCCCCGAGGCCACAGAGGCCAGTCGCTGCCCAGTAGGAGGCCGAGGTCTGGCAGCAAGTGTTTTTAGCACATCTCCGGCCGCCAGAAGAGCGAGCAGGTAACGGCCGTGCGGCCCTCGGCGAAGAGCGAGCAGGTAACGGCCATGCGGCCCTTGGCCGGAGTCGCGGCAGCTGCGGGGGGCTGTGGGACCCGGAAAGGGCCGGCCCGCCGCGCCCCTCCCACACCCGTCCCGTCCAGACGCTCCCTCCCATTGCCCGTGCACCTGCCACACCTGGCCCAGAGCCCTGCCCCGCCCCGCCCTGGGGTCCCGCTTGCTCTCCAGGTGACAGGCTCTCTGCTCCCCGAGACAGCCCCTCTCTTCCCTCCCACCTGCACTGACTCACATCCCGTGAGCAGACACCACGGTTGAGGCCACCGGCAAATCAAACCCAACCCAACCTGGCATCGTGGGCTGAGGCCGGCCGGGTTCAGCCACTGACGTGGCAAAACTCACTCTGGTCCCGGTGCTCACTTCCCCAGGCTGCTTTTAGCTACTTTAGAGGCGCCTCCCCGACACCTCGATCCGGGCGCACCCCCACCAGACACAGCTCCCCGGCCAGGGGAAGGTGAGGTTCCTCGGCTCAGGCGTCTCTCACTGCTCCAGTCACCGTCTGCCCACATCGCTGATGCCGGGTCCCCGCCCCCCGTCCACTTGCTTCTCATCAG